CGCGGAAAGGGATGATGGTGTATAGGTAGATGAGGACATTCGGTTGGATGGGTTTACCCGCAGAGCTCGGTTTCAGGTCAAATTAAACATGAAGTTGCGCGATCGTTCCGGCTTGCGTAGAACGTTTCCTTCACAGGAGATCCACAACGAATCATAGATTGAACCGTGCATGCATTCCGCTTTGTGGTGCTGTACGGTATATCTAAACGTTTAATTTTATATCACGATTAGAATGAATATATGCTGCGAGGTCAGAAATATTAATAGAAAGGAGACAGCTGCATCTTCATCTCCGCGTTCATCAAATGCAGACGAGCAATTTAACGAGTGTTATGTAGCATGTTATACGGACACCAGTTAATTGAATCGCGTACGAAACAATGGGGACGTGATATTAAAATAATGGTTTGATTTGCTTGCTTGTTTCACTAGTTCGCGGTACATTCACGAATTCAGCTAATTAAAACAGTCATACTCATTACATGCTCTATCACAGAATAATCTTTCGTTAATGTACAATTGATTGTGACGTTAACCCACATGGGGAATTCGTGCATTGCTGGAAATTTAATGCGTGTTGCACGGCGTTACGCGTCATCGTTGATACACATCACTACTTTTCTCTCCCCTTGCTACGTTGCCTGTGGTTTACCGCATTGAATGATGATATTAATTAATTGTGGGAATATTAGTATTACGCAAGCATAGACGTGCTCAATTTGTTAAACAAAAGTGGAATCGAGTGCAAATGCAATAATAATACTTGTCAGAATATTGTATTACTCGTACAAAATACATATTAAACTATATATGAATATGAAATTTAATAACTAATAGATTTTACGTTTTCTATATCTTCGGGAAACGACATTGAAATGAGTTAAGAGTTAAGTAACAAGGTAAATTTGATAACATTGTATAAAAGTTTTATAACTTTCTGTGTAAATAATAAGTTAATCTAGACAGCTAGTGAATAAATCGAATAAATAAGGAAAAGGTCAAGGCACTCAGTCTTGATCTAAAGATTTAAAGATTAGATCTTGATATTTAATAATATTTTTTATATGTAAATTCTAAATATATTTTTTGTTATATAAACTGCGCTCACTTTCAACACAATTATGAACTAAAGTTGAAATAATATCACAATTAAATTGATACTTATTTGATTTTTTCATATAGTGATCATATAGTGAAATTAGTGATCTGAAAAAGTAACGTTCCTTTTCATTACTCACTTCGTCATTTCTGTATAAAACTTGCATAGATAATTTAATGCTAGTAATTATCAATACTGAATAATAGTTTACCGAAAAATTTTATCCTAGATTTCAGTATATCCAACTAAACTATAGAATGTTTTCTATTAAAATAAGCACCAAGTATATATTGTAAAAATTGGAGGATTTGCCTCTAATATAATAAGATATTCTAATTACACAGGCTCACAAAAAAAAGTATCTTGTGCTGAGATGAAGACTCAGTTATTTTTATGTATTTTGAGTCGCTGAATATAAATCTGACATTAAAATAGAACCATCCAGAGTAAATTTTCAATCTAGAGAAAAATGACCTATTTGTACTATTTTTGAGCAATTTTTTCGTTCTAGATTGAAAATTTGTTCTGGATGGTCCTATTTTGATGTCAGATTCGTATTCAACGACTTAAAAATACGTAAGAATAGCTGGGTCTCCACCCCAGCACAAAATACTTTTTTTTATGGACCTGTGTTATTTAGAATATTTCTCTATTGTGGAGTAGAATATATTTTAATTTTAACACACACACACACACATACACACATGCACTCGCGCGTACGCACGCACGTATATACGCATGTAATATGTACATGACACTCACAAAAATTCCAATTTGTACTTGCTCTCAAAACAGCTGATTAGTTCCGATAAATTGTATTGAAGCAGCTACTTTTTCACTTCTTCCATTCGTAATGAACAACACTATACAGTGATCGAACACTGAATCCTGTTTTCTCCTTCTAACGCGAAGAGAAAGAAATATAAATAACTCTAAACTCGTGCAGCTACTTCAGGAATAAAAAACAAATCTTTATTCAAAAGGTATATCTCGAAGTCTTTAATCTCGAACACGTCAGGACACGGTATAGCGCGGATTTACATGCATGCGCAAACACGAAGGCTTCTTCTTCTTTTTTGTTAATGGCTCCTCCGAAATTATAAACGGAGGTCGATGCGGCCAGAAAACATAAAAACAAAAGGGTGATGCATGGACGCGCGTCAAGACAAACGGATGGATCGTCCAAAACCGTGGGACAGCTATATGTTTCTCAAGTCTAAGTCGGCAACACTTTCAAAAATATACAAGATAAAAGCACCCGAGCCGAGACGCGTCCGTGAACGAGTGATTCTTCAGAATTGGTAAACATGAAGACGAGTATTATTTGTTAATCAAGCACTGAAATGCTTAGAATATTTTCTTTATTTCTGATATTATTCTTATCAAGATATATTTATAGAAGAATATTCTAAATTTTTTAGAATATTCGATTAGAGGATACCTTTAAACGGAATTATTCTCAAATACAGAATACGATTTTTTCGGTAATTCGTATCTTAAGGAATAGAAAAAATAACATAACAATATAAGAAAAAGAATTTAAAGAAGACTAAGATTCCGAGCGGGAAATAATGAGCGAACTTTCAAGGAAGTATAGTACTTCATATAATCAATTAGAACTCGAGAATGAGTGAGATGTTAATGGAGTTCAGCTAAGTATAAACTAGAGCAAACTAGTATCGAGTCGAACAAACGCATCAACACTCACCATCTCATATCTATTTGTGTCGTAAATCCCTCGATTCCATGCTGTGTAACTGTGGGACGCGTTCCCGTAATAGATCATCATTTCTACGTTAAATATACTCGTACACGTATATTTTAGTAATGTGTTTGTACCTTCGCCTAAGAATGAAAAATGGCGTATGTCTGTTGAGCTTTCGGAAAATTGATGGAATATGAAAAGGATTGATGTAAAGTGGATTGAAACAAACGGGCTCTACGACCATAGGCGCATAATAAACGATTTTATCATTCATTTACACTTCGCACGCGTTTGCTTCTTTATCTTTCAATGGTAGTTCCATCATTCGTAGTTAAGACAAATGCCCCATCAGTCATTTTCCTTTTTTTCAAAATTGACCATTATTCCTTGCCATAAATCTGACAGATGCCAAAGAGGCACATGAAAGAATCTATCGCAAAGTGGTCATCGTAACCTCTGTTGTCTTAAGCAGACCCTTCAGTTGTGGTTCGTCGTTTCTAGCTGCTTCGGAGACTTGGCTTTCATTCTCCTTGACGTTGACGGAGTATTGTTTCCCCGAGCAAGATTTCCTCCGGGTCCACTTGCTGCAGGAGCATGTACAGCGATATGACAAAAAAAAACGAGATTGTAATGAAATGTCAACTCAATGTTTATCTTCCGCTAGCTTTGTTTGAATGTTTGATATTTGTTTAAGTATTCGATTAACCATACTATATAAAACAATATGATGTCATTTTTGAAAAGACATTTTAAATATTGCACCGTTAATATTTCAGTACTGCCATTTTTATGCAAAGCATCGGGAGAATATCTCGTATATTTGCTCGTATTTCATTTATTTCGTATTTGCATACAATTCACGCCAAATTTGGAAGATAAATGTTAGTTGTTATTCCCCGCTGGTACTGTTTTGTTATAATTGAATGATTAATTGCATCCCCGTTTTCTCTCTCTCTCTCTCTCTCTCTCTCTCTCTCTCTCTCTCTCTCTCGCTTTGCTGAAAGCGTACATTCATCAATGTCTCTCATATCTATAATTACAGTTCTCAATTCAATGATAATGTTAATGTCGGTAATGGTTTTTGTTTCATCTTCGAATGATTTGTCAAGCACATCGGAGAACAATATATTGCTAGATAAGATATGAACAATTCGCTTGACAGTTAATATAAGCGATTTACCTTCGCGCTATCATACAAGTTATTTCAAATATGTATTTATATCGAATAATTTAAAAAAAATTAATGATATTTTAATTTATAATGAATGATAAATTTAAGACAATTAGTTTATGTATCAAATTGGAATGTCTACATATATTAGTTAGCTTAATACGTATAATACGTTAAACGTTATATATAATATAATCGGCTTAACAAACGGATTTTAATATATTTCTTTAGAACGAACTTTATTCCTTTAGAGAACGAACCAGAAATTCACTGATATCTCGCTATTCTTGCTCTGCAGTTTCTGTTCCCCTTGCAGATCGTATCCCCGTGATTCCGTGGAATTAATTCGTTAAGAGGTGGGAGGTCGGTCGTCCCACCGTGATAGACGGGGGTTCGTAAATTTTAAAGGTACACCTGGTACACTCTAGCCCAGTAGAGCGAAAGGAAGGAAGGAAGAGAGATGAGTACGACGGGTAAATCCAGCTTCCGGTAGCAGGTCGGCTTCCCTGGCTGGAGTTGATCCTTGAGAATCTCGGTTATTCACTCGTGCTGGGCTGTCGATAACTTGGACAATCTTAACCCCGCCCACTTTCTTTTCTCTTTTACACTTTCACGGACTCGCTCGTCTTGTCCATCATCTCGTTTGTCACGAAGAAGATCTTTGGTTTGGCTTCTTCACACATCTTTCGGATCAGCCTTCTCGTGTTACACCGCTAAATCCAATATCAAGCTGTCGCTTCCTATTTTCTGAGAGGATCTACACGTAGCCCTTGCCACTATTGCACTTCTGGTACTATTTTCTTTTCGCTCCTAAGACAAAAGCGATTCAGACGAAGAATTGCTTTGTATAACCGCAACTTGTTGAGTGAAGAGAATTTTTGAAATTAGACTGAAGTGAGCACTTTCAGTTTTTAGCAAATACAATATACAAATATAAGCTAAATGTACACATATCTTCCGTTTATGCAGTAACGTTTACTTTCTTTTTATATTATAATGTCATTTTACATCGTTTTATGTTGCAGGTGACTGGCATCGTAGGCAGAGCGGATGTTCTAGCGTGTATCTTCTTTTTGCTGTCCTTTCTTGCCTATCATGGGTGAGTACTTTAATAACTTAAACTTTTTCGTCTTACTGAAGTTCCAGGCATTTAATTTTCTTCAAGATTAACAAATATGGATATGCAAATGGTTTATACTTATGTGTGTGTGTGTGTGTGTGTGTGTGTGTTGTGTGTGTGTGTGTGTGTGTGT